CAGCGGATGGCAGCGGGACTCCCTGTGGCTCAGGATGCTATTTGGTGAAGACGCCGAGCGCAGAAGTGGGGCGCTTGAAGCCCCGCGAGCTGGTGCTGAAGGAAGGCACGGCTGTGAGGAGACTTGACATCCATGCTTAGAGGGCCAAACGCGGAGGGAGTGGGAGAGGAGAGAGGGAGAGTGAGTGAGAGAGAGAGAGAGAGAACGATGGCGAGTCAGAGAATGAGAGTGAGCAAGGAAGTGAGGATGCCAATGTCAGAGTGAATAAAGGGGAGGAAGAAGGAGGGTTTCAGTTCAATCAGGGAGGCCACGTTTCATGTCAAAACTTCTGGGGGATGCCGAGTGTACAGTACATTCCTGTGCGGCGCCTGAGGCTCGCTGCAAAGACCCGCGAGCTTCCTTTCCCAACCGCCAAACCAGCAATCAGCGGTTGAAAGACTATGAAAGTCTTTAGATTTATCATAAGTTTCTCATCCATCTAATGATTTGCAGATTTTTGATTTGGCATCCCCCGTCCAGGAGTTCAGAAGAACGTATATAGAATATTATAGAATATAGTACACCGTGTCAAGGGTTGCAAAACATTTGCTCAAAATCGTACGGGGAATGACGGACGCCACTCTAGAGGCCGAACTGGGATGCTGTCTAAGACGCCGTGTTCTGGTGTCGATTTTCACCTTGCCACCCCAGCGTCCCAACATGTCCCAACTAACTACGGCTCGTGTGCCCCAGTTTGCACGAACCCAGGTCGCTCCGGTAGCTCCCTTCCTGTCAGACCAAGGCTTCAAGGGCTCAACACGGCGGACTTCAACGGCAAGATGGCCGCGGGCTTAAAAGCTCAGCCGCAACCCATGCAACAAACTGACTGAATCCCGGTTCTTCCAGCACAATTCCCATGGCTCACACCTACCATCTCGCTTTTTTCACCCCCCCCGCGACATCACACATCACACTGCTCTCACTCTTCGCCCATAAAACACCGTCTCCCAACCTCCTGCGCGTCCCCATCCCACGCCTGTCCGGGAACGCGTCCCACAGTCGCTTGGTGCTTCCCGACCGAGGCGGTGATCCGAGAGGTGGACCAGCCCGCCCACCGTTACCGTGTCGAGTGCGCCCACGGTCAGCTCCGACGCTTGCAGCAGCGGTGGGCGGGTGGGCCGTTGGGGCTCGGGCGGCTTGAGCTAGATATTCCATATAATCAAAAAGAGGGCTAATTAATAGAGATCCTAGAGTCAGAACAAATTCATGTATCTTGAATCTATCCCGTTTGCGTTCCTGCGTTGGTCTCAGGAGTGAAGTTCGAGAATGTGCTGTGCTGAGCAGCTCGAAGGACCGGAGAATTCAGCACCCCGAGGTGGTGGGTCAGAGCCCGACGGTTCGACTATCCCAGGCCAGTGTACCCCAGGTTACAGGTCTTAATCCCATCCACCTATTAAAACACACCCCCCCCCCATAAGATAACCTCGGTCTCTTTTAAATAGGGGGTCCCTGAAATCGGGGTTGTCCAAAATAGGGTCACCCGGGAAGAGCTTCGAAACCAAAAAGTCACCCAGGATATTTTTATATAAACTCCTGTTTATTAAAGTCGTATCTCAAAAAACCTCCAGATCGAAGGGTCTTCTTTTTCCCCTACAAAAACCTCTATTAGAATAGTGATTCTTCATTAGACTAACAACCAAATTCAGCTTTCGAAAGGTGATGTCGCTGTGCCATGCGGTTTTGCGTGACCTCGGTGGAAAGTGCGTTTGCGTGAGTCCGTGCCATTGGGGGAAGGAAAGCCTGATGGTGTAAACACGGCGTGTCATGGTGGATAGACAGAGTGGACAGAGGTGGACAGTTGCGGTTGCTTTTGGAACCTAATTAACAAAGCTCCTTCAAAATCGGCCATGTTGGTAGTTTAGTAGCGGCTTTAAAGCGCGGTATTTTATAAACACTATAGACGCATATAATATAAGCCGTATTTAGGAAAATCCGACATGATTTTTTAACTGGCGTCTGCTTTTTATAGGCACTTGGGATTTTAAGGTCACTTAACCTCTCTTATCATCCAAAGCTATTGGGTTGTGGAGGAAAGTGGTTTCTTTCACGGCTCGGGCCTTTATTGGTCCATGGGATCGGTTGCGGGGGGACAGAACCGGGTAACCATGGAAGTGGGAAAGTCCTTTGGTATGAAAATGCTCATTCTTTTGACATGCTATCCAGTTCGATCATTTTCACGTCCCAGGTCCCAAGCCCCAAAAAGATCATCGATTTCAATCAAGCTGGCCATTTGCAAGTTATGGTGTAGGAGTCTATGACCCTAGGAGGATGAACTCCCACATGCACTCATTGGAACTAAGATTTTCATGAACAGCTCGGCGCTGAAACCTCATCAAAGCCCCTTTACGTTGGCCTCCTATGTTGGCTGACATTTTTTCTAATTCGTTTTCAGCGAGCAGGGCCTCAGCCGCTGCCGGCCAGAAAAGCGGGTGGGCCGTTCAAAGGCCCGAGCTAGTGGGACACTGGACATGACCATGCATGTGGATAGTGATGTTGAGGATTCCCTAAGTTATACTCAGTATATCTCAATATGGTATGTTCGTTTCCCCATGTTTCTGTTTTAACTGTAATGTTCTGTTGGCCACCTGGATTGCATTCACATGCTCATTTGAATACCCAGGTCCCCAATAGTATTTTGTGTTGACGGTTGATCAGTCCAAGACGAGACATGATCCTAGCAAGATGGAAAAACATGGTTTGCCCATCGCAGCACTCACAATACTGACTTGGTCAGCCCGGTGACCAGGGCAGTCGGAGAAGCGTGACAGGTGGACCTGAGGTGCCAATTGGCCGCTCACGAGGGACGAAGCTAAGACATGGCCGCCTTTTGGGCCGCGGAAGTCTTCAAAACCGAACCCCCCCGAAGCATAAGGTGGCTACTCCCTCAGAGGTTTTCCGAGGTGCTTGTAAAAAGGAACGAAAACCGAGCCAGTGGGTCCGAAAGCTGTTTTCTCTTCGCCACCAGGTGACGAGACGTTTTGGTATGTTTTGGTAATGTATGACTCTGTATGGCTCTTGATTAGATTTCACCTCAACCCCCATAAGAAGAGGCTTTTCCATCAGGTGGGGGCGGGGGGTTTATTAAGCTGTATTCAGTTAGTGCCCCTCCTCGGAGTTTTTGTTTTCTTGTGCCGAAAGTTTTCTATTTTCGGAGATTGTCTGAAGAGACAACCTATTATTCGTGTACTGTAATTTCTTTGCGAGTCACGGCCACTCGCAACTCGCAACCCAATGATTCTCCACGGTACGCGAGACGTTTGCTTTGGCGGACTCAGACGTTTCGTGTTTGGTTGGTCGTGACGTCGGCACCAGCAGGTTGCTCGCAGGATGTGATCGAGTTCCTGGGGGGCCTGGTGGGAGGGGGGGTGGGCCAAAGGTCCCCTCCGACCTGTCAGAAACCCCTTGAAGTTGGCACACCGACTTGCAGATCTCAGATATTCACTCGATTCATGATTCATGGTCATTTGTGGGAGAGAAAGCTGGTGTTGGAGGCTCTGAAAGATTTGAGGGGTGCCACCGTTCCGCGGAAGTTCCCTCAATAGAATCTATTTGTACTGGCTGCAGACAAGTGGCCAAGTGTTCCAGATGAGACAAGCTAGGGGACCTGGTCCCAAGCTAGCTTCCTCTAGATCTGAAGTCTTTATTCTTCTTTCTTTTGCCCCGTTATTTCGTCTGGCTAGGCCCAGCCTAGTTCGGGCAGCCCTTTAGAGCTCTTTCAAGCAAGTCCACGATCTTATGCGAGACCTGCGAGCCCAAGGTTCGTGGAGGTCGTTTTTTGGAAGGTCAGAGGGAATACAAACAGCTTGGGGCCGTTACGCGCGTGAAAAGCGTGTGGCTGGGAGAAGATTCACTGTTGGCTCAACATATGAGGGCAGTGACCAGTGACCCTGTTTGGACATGATTATGTACTATTATGTATGGGTTTGATGTTTTGTCATGTTTTGTGGTGTTGCAGTCCAACTCTCATTTGTTTCCCTCTGCCACTGCCCTCCCTCCTCTAGTGAAGGCGCCTGCTTCACTAGAAAAATTCAGCTGCATCACGGGTCTGGCAAGGCCGGCACCAAAGACTCTCAAAAACTCCCAAAAACCCAACTCCGCTGTCGATTCAAAAAGGGAGCTCGAGATGGTTCAGCAGCGTTCGAAACGAACCGCTCCGCATGCGGATCTTCGGATGTTTAGTCCTTCCATGGTTCGGTCGTTGAATTGAATGGACCCCCCTGCAGACGAGAAAGAAACCCCTGCAGACGAGAAATCGTTTCTTCAGACAATGATCCTCCACATTTTTATATCATTTTAAGAACCCATTGTTAATCTGCAGGAGGCAGTGCACTCCTTGGAATTATCATGGTTATGTGGATATGGCATGATATGGCATGGACAAGAAAGGATGAAGCATTGTCTTTGATGGCCAAAGATGACCATGAAATCACCAAACCAGCAGGTTTCACTCCAGGTTCATGATGATTCCAAGGACATCACCTGCGGCTGAACGTGTTCGAATGATGGATGCCTACAAACCTGCGAGCAATCAAGGTGTAACGGATCTGGCGCCGGGGACGGCGAGCCTCGGTGCCACCGCCATGCTCTCGCTTCGGTTGGGCCTCACACGAAGCGGGTTCAGAGCACGCTGCGTCAGAACCATTTGGATCCATTTGGCACTTCAAATCCATTTAGACCTCCATATGCCTTTGGCCCGAGGGAATTCGATGGGCTTCATGGGTGCATTTCAGCCTTTTAGAGACTGACTAGTTTCACTATTACTGTAATTATCATACGTGAACATGTGTGAACATGCATGAACCATTTACTGTGAAGCCTCAGGTGAATTCCGCACCACCTGCTGCTTTGCCTGAAGATTGATGTAAGGTGGGTAAGGTAAATCCTACACTCCTGACTCCGTGGCACGTTCTCGCCGGTTTTGCGGGCGACCTCCGTCTCGCGGGGCGGGGCGCGCGTCTCAGGCCATGGAGCACCTTCCCCGGCCGTGTTGGAGCTGTGGCCGAGCGTCCCGCGCACATGGCTGGAAGAACGTGCCGCCCAAAGAAGAAAAGAACACGCGCGGAAGTGGTGCGGAGCATGGCGGAATTGGGTCGGTGTGGGTTCCAGAGATGCTGAAGAGCAGCGATGTTTGAAAATGCCCGATGTTTGCAACAATATTGACATGACACCAAACCTCACGCAGTGTAAAGAAGCCATGTGCTGTTGTACAAGAGCCTATGAGGCCCTCGAATTGTTTCACCTTAGTTCCCCGTGTCACCGTTGAGCTTCCAAGCCCATATTGCAGGACGTTTCGGCAACCGGTCAGAACATGTCAGAACAGAATGCCCATAAAGCCTCGGTACCAGTTGCTTTGCTTGCGCACACGCGCACACATACTAGTACAATGACCTCTATTTTGGACCACCAACCACCCAAAATATGGCCTTTTCCTATCAAAACAGGGGTCAGTTGGGTTCCAGGTATATATATATATACCAGCTGGAGTACCAGCTGGTCAGGAGGGGACGGCTCCGGAGCCGGTCTCCACCCTCGGAGCGACCAAGCCAGAAGTTCCCGTGAGAACCCCCGGACGTCGCGTAATGGTGGAAGTCGCTGCGCTCGAAAGAAGAGGGAACAACACCCAGACACGACCAGTCTAGGACTGCCATGTCGGACTGCCTTCAAAACGGCCAGGGGTGGTGCTAGGGGGGTCAATGGATCAGCATATATGGCAGTCCCATGGAGTGTCCGGGACCCGGAGCTTGACCATCGTGAAGTGCGCCGGGCGTTCGCGACCTCATTCCTGCGGTCGGCGCAGGCTGCGGAGGCGGTGGAGGCCGGCGAGTGCGAGCCCTCGGTGGCCTTAGGTGGGCGACCGGCCTGGGCGGTAGCCTCGGTGGTCGAGAAGTCTGGGATGTTGGGGTGAATGGATGAGAAGTGATTGCAACAATGTTGTTTTTCATGTTAACACATAGGGGTTGAAGTTGGGTGTCAAGTTCCTGAAAGGAAACGCAACAAAACCTGGAAGGGACCAGAAAAACCCCCTGAACGGGATTCAACGTTCTCACTTTATTATAATCTTAGAATCTAAGACACACAGTGGACAGGTATGTTCAATTGTTGTCGTTTGGTGAAACTCAACTAATTTATGTCGCTTGATTTAGTTTTAGTAGTTTTTAGTCGTTTTCTGAAAAAGATACTGCCGCTTCATGGGTTTGCGTGCCACACTGGAGTGCACCAAAAAAGTGTACACACAAATTGCACCGATTTGATGCCGTTTTGGGGCCCTTTTGCGCCGTGTCTTGTTTTGCGTTTCTCTTGCGGGAAGTGTCACTGTTGGTAATTTCCCCATTCTATCCAACATCCAAAAAAGAGCTGCACTACAGAAATGTCCGCCACCTGCCCCAAGAACTATGTTAACCAACAGACATACCAAGGAAGATGTAGGTAGGACATTGAGCTATGCTTGATGGACAACATCCTGCGCCACTTTGTGCAGTGCACTGGTGGGCGTGCATAATTTTGTCATATTTCGTCCATCGTTATATATAATATGTTATAACATAATATAATATATAAATAACCATTAGTATGTCCCAGAATCAATGTTCGAATTGACCCTACAACATGACCCCACGCAGTTAGGTTCTCAAGATGTATCTATAGCAGTTTTCATCATGCCGTGATACGGTATCATACCTTTACCTTGTCAACCTGCCATTCCCACGCACCTGATGTTTCCAGGTGTTGCGTTTGAAAGATTTGAACTCTTTTCTTTGGCACTTAAATGGGCAAACAACAAATGAAATGCATTCACTAGCAGGAGTGCAGCAAGCCGGTTTCGAGGTATGGTGGCACTCTTTCATTTCATTCACCTGCGTGGTTCCTACATGTTCCCTCACGGTACCTCACCTCCCACTTGCCGAGTTCCGAAGACTTCAGACGGATCTCGCCAGGTCGTGGTTTGGCGGCTGCCGAGGAGACTGAGGCCCTGGCTTTGCAAAGCCTGCATGCACGGCTTCAGGCGCGAGAGAGAGTTGAGCATGGAAGGCCACTTCAGGGTCAGCATGGATCAGCATAACATAGCTCAAACTAGGATGCTCCAGGCAGACAGGTGTTGATGTAGTGAAAGAATATTACAGTACGTAGTTACCCATATAGACAATAGAACAAAGAGTACTTGCTAAGTATATAAGTTTGTCTTAGAACAGGGGAACCTCCAAGCAGATTCGTTTTCGTTTACTTTTGTTTTGTCCCAGCATGTCAGAAGTTTCTATGCACGTCCCAATGTGAGAGGACCAATGATGCGTTGGACTGACGTAGCTCAATTAATATCAATGACATTCATGAGACTTCATGGAGACAATTCAAGGCGCAAAAAGGTGAGCAGCAGTTGCTCTGGGCCTACCATGATACATCACAATACCATGCCATAGCTTGAGCCCTTCACTTCTCTTTCAAGCCTATTTCACTCCGCGACTGCGTTCGCCAGGCGCGCGACTGCGTTCGCTTCGATGGGGGCGCGCAGGCGCTCGAGCAACGGGTGCGGCGCCTCTGTCGGAGCCCGGAGCGTCCCCCCCCGCGTTCAGCCAAAAGAAAACGGTGCGGCACCGGTGAATCGACATGAAGAGAGACCACCCCCGAGATAAACAGGTTTTTGAGACATCTCTAGGGGTCACGTTGGGGTCATTGAGCCAGCAGCAGGACGGTAGGAGCCTTTTGAGAGGTCGTCAAAGACAACAAAGGATGACAAGGGGCCTCATCATTCACTAAAAGAAAAGCGGGCATCAGGCCAAGTGCAAGAGCCATGGCAGATGATTGATTTTGCTGATTCACTGAAGAGGCGGGAGGAACTCCTGGCAACCTATTTTTGGAGGGGTAGTAGGTTGGCAAGCCTAGTCACCAATAGTTTCTATATATACAACATAGCTGGACACTGTCCAATACAATATGGCTCAATTAAAGGTGACTCAGGTGACATTCTACCATCAGTGTAATGAACCGAATTCCTATGTTGAGATTGCCGGTTTAATTACAATTCTGAGATGGCTGGTTTACAAACATCTCACCCAACCAACCAACTTGCAATGAACTGACACCTGAATGCATTGAATCTACTCAATTCCTATCAGATGTTGCTGCCTGTTCTTCGCTCACCGAGGTCCGTGAGACACGAGCCAGGGCGGTGTCAGCAGCCAGGGGCCCACACCACCGGTGAGCCGAAAACCCGAAGAAACGGGATCCGCTTTCATGAGGGATCCGTGCTTTCGAAGGTGTCAACATGTGTCAACACAGTGCAGGAACACACCATGTTTAAGACAGAGGGCCCACAGGAGCTCTCTAGAGCCATGACATGGTACAAAGTCCCCGCTGAAAGTCCCCGCTCATCCTTCCATGTTTTTTTGTTTCTGTGTTTGTTTGTACTTTTGGGAGGCTTCTGTACTTTGGGGAGGCTTCTTCGTGCCAAATTCTACAGCCCCACCAATGCCCGCCCTCTTGAATTATGACCGCCTGATGCGCTGCTTGTGCATGATGAGCATATTGAATACCATTCAATCTTTGACCCATTTGGAAGTTCAAGAAGAGGCATTCATGTACTGCACCATATGGTCGCAACGGTTTCATGCCGTCCCGCCGGGTGCTTAGGTCCGGCCCTGGATAGAACTGCTGTCAGACCGACGGGAGTGTCATCAAGTGCGGCTGCTGGGCGGAAGTCATCGAAGATGAGTCATCGGTAAGTTTTGTGGTCCCAAAATCAGGTTCCAATGTAGAAATATCCAAGCACCCTTGAAGGGGTACCAATAGATTGTCCATCATGAAAGGATTCAAATCTGTTGGCAAGGAGCCTGGACCCACTTGGAACCACTGCATGGAAGTATGACCCTTTACAATACCACTGAGTGCTGTCAGGTTGTCAGTCATTCAGGTTTGTAACGTCACCACAATCTGCTGGGATACATGCATGATCACACATATATAATTCATATTATTTCATTTACAATATATATATATATATCCCTCTCATAAGATCATACCATATATATAATATAAGATCATACCATATAAGATCATATTATATATATATATATGTGTGTGTTATGTGTTTCAATTTACGCTTGCAGATAACTACATTGAGTATATTGTGTGTATATAGAACATATTGGCGCCCGTGTGTGTGTGTGTGTGTCATACTCTGTCCAAAAGAGTTTTATGAAGAGCAGGGGCGTGTGACACTCCTATCCTATCACACGCAACGAAGCTGTGGATAAGAGTGGGAAGGGAAACGTGGCCAGTTTCCTGTACCTGCGACCTTTTGAACTATTGACCACGCTGTCCACTTCTTTGGTTTGCTTCCATGGTTGTTGTCATGAATAAACCCCAAAACATCCCCCCCCCGGCCGCTTTCAGCAGCCGATGAGCCACCGCCACCGCCGCTTTCCGCGAGAGTTTTTTGCGAGCTTGTTGAGAACACTTTGTTCAAGCAGCTTCAAATGCTTGGACGCTCCACCTTTCCGTTGAGCCATTCCTTTCCTCTGGGAATTGAGTTAACTGCAAACCAATTTTCGATTGCGTGTGTGTGTGAACATTTTCCTCAAACCTACCCCGTTTGAGCAGATGACTAGATCACCGCGAGAGTGCGGCCCATTGGCCCTGGCCGCTCCAACAGCTCAGCTCGGGAGTTCCTTCACTTCCGCCCCAAAAGGGCTTGTGGCCTACATTCTTCTTTGAATCGGCCCTGCCGTGTCGCCCAAAACGACCGGAATCGGGCAGTCTCATTCGGACGCACTTTGGTTCGACTCAGCACCTTCGGTTGCCAGGTGGGTCATCCGGTCGTCACACCTGAGGCAAGCAATGGAGGTGCTACTCAAAGAGACGCGGGAAGAGTACAACTCCACCCTCTCCATGTGCGCATCCGATCGGATCGCGCGAATGGATTGATGATTGGAACGGACCCGGCGCTCAAGATATTTGGGAACCAAGACCATACGGCTGTAGGTCACAACCCACCAGGAAAGTTCACCTATGCTCCAGGTGAACAATGACTCAACCCCCATGTGCTCCATAGATGGCCTTAAAAAATGGAGTAGAGGGGATACCCGGACCCGTGGATATCCCTGTACAACCTGGATATCCCAAGGGTACCGGGGTCGGCCGACCCCTCGAACCCTCCTGACCACGAAACCAATTCGCTGTAACGGCACACCAATGGCCGGGCGTATGAAAGCCGTCGGTGGCGGCCACCGAGCTGATTTTTGGGGATGTCTCGTTGGAGCGAACATGAAGCCCCTGAAACCATCGAAGTGGAAGGATCATGCGCCTGAATTCCATGTTCGTTGGCGGGTAAGTTATAGACTCTTGATTCCATCGATTGATATACACTTCCCAGTGCATGGTGGTAAAACCACGTGGTTATACCAATCAACCGTCTACAGTCCAGCTCATGGTGAACGGGGGACTGTTTATTCTTTCGCCGGCGAGGAAGACCGCCAAGGCGGAAGTGGTCCAGGAGCTTCAGGAGCTGCCAGTGAAACGGCTAGTGGCGGTTCGTGACGGAGCCAAGAAAGACGCTTCCGAAACGATGAGAACGATGGAACAAGTAGATGAGATGAGAACACATCCCCAGCAATGATCAATACCCCGGACAGACACTGGGAATGCGTGGGCCACCCAGGCGCCTCTTGGTGCTTTCCAATCCGCAGGACCGGGGCAGCCAGCATGAATGGACAGTGAAACAGCTCCAAGATGCGGTAGAGCTCCTTGAGGATTCGCAACTCTGCGTCTCGCCTCTCCTCGGTGCGTCGTTCTTTCCATCGTCGGTGCCAGGACGGTCTGGACAACGGTGTTGGTCGAAAGGTCGCCGAGAGGCTAGCTATAAGTTCTCCTTATTTCTCCTTGCTGTAGCAATGTAGGCATGGTGGAAGTCTTTTGCCACTTGGTTTGGGGCAGAGGAAGAGCGAACTTTTCGCTTTCAGTCCTGATGAGCAGGGAGTAGAACGGGAACATGATCAAAACGTTTTCTTTTGTGTCCGGGTTCTTTGTAGTCCTTTGCTTAGGGGGCTGGATCCAGCAATTGACAGACCTATCATGTTTTTCAGCTGCCACGCTGAACCCCCCCTCAAGGTATTTGACAGGCAGACCGCCATTCCTGTATCTTCAGTTCAGCTGAAATCCGATGAACAAATCTACCGTCTGAATGTTCTTGATTTCATAGTTCTCTGACTTAGAAAATCATAGTTCTTGTCGCTTGTTCAGTTTGATCGGAGTGCTTTCCCGAGTTCCGATGTTCCGGGAGAAAGAAAGCCTCACCCGGATGTCCTTCTGTTGGATGTTTGCTTTCCGAAGCGGCCAGATCTTCGCTTTAGACCCTCGTGGCATTCCAAGCCCAAAAGTTCCACCTCCAAAACTTCCCCACTTCCACGGATTCACACAGGCCTTCCACGGGTCACGGGCGCGCCGTGCTGCTCCGCCGTTCCTTCCGCCATCCACCGCACCCCACGTCGACCCACAGGAGCGACGTCTCGACCGAGACGAACGGTGCACCGAGGTGAGGCGTCGGCCCCGCGGGACCTGGAACTCTTCTTCGCGGATGCCTTGAGCCAGTCCATCCCCGAGGACCCGCGGGGAAACCGCGGAAGCGAAAGCGGGTGCTGCTCCACTCGGCCCCGACCACCGAAACGGAAAAAGAAGCCTTCAAACTCAGTATCCACATGTATTCACGGTGCGTGACTAGAATCAAGATCTGAATGCAAGAAATAAGTCCAAGTCCAAGCCCAAGCCATTTTGGGCCATTAGACTCCGACCTGGGCATCTACCGTCCTCAGGAGCTGCAGCTTCGTGCTGGGCAGAGCCTGGAGGCCTTGGTCCGGTGCGGTCAGGCAGCGCAGCCGGGCTCCCCGGCGACGAAGCGCAAGCGGTACTCGGTGGAGCACCCAGCACATCACACTGACATGGACAAAAATGCACTCATTTGGGTACAGAGAGAGGAATTTGAAGTTACTAATTTATTCTGGAGTATTTTTTGTTTGTGTGTGTGTGGGGGGGTGTTTAGTTTTAATGTGTTTCAATGAGTATATATTTAAATATGATATATGTTTGTTTGTTCTGTTCTTCTCGGGGTCCAGTCGCTCCCGCGCGTCTTCTGCATGTCCTGTCTCCGTGTCTCCTTCGCCGCCCAGGCGCGTCCTCCAGACGATGGACCGGAGGTGTCCAGGTGCGGAGCTCAGCGCGTCAAGGACCTCTCAAGCCTACACAGGCCCGATCACAGGCCCGCATACTGACTCTTGATGAATCGGTTCTTCTTTCACACCATCATGAAGAGATTTGCCGCTAGATTTGCCATATGTTTTTTTGCCATCCAATCGGGATTCAGTCTATACATTATATAGATGGATTCAGCAAAGAGTCCTACATAGATGGGTACAGACCATGCATCGACTCGATGACGATCTACTCCGGCTCCGGTGCCGTCAGGTGAGAGTGAGCCTTGCAGCACGCCCTCCGTGGAACGCAGTCCTGAGGAGGGCCGAGTGGTTTTCCAGCGATGGCAGACGCATGTCATATCTTCAAGCCTCAAGTGCCCCACAAGTGCCACAAAAATGAGGCCCACTTGTCAGTGGCGGGATGCATATGGATGGATCATAGGCCGGTGTGCTTCCATAGATCAACACCGACACCAACACTCAGCACCCACGGCAGCCAACTCCCCAGTCCCGTCGGCGGTTGACTCGAACCCCCCCGCAGGTCAGTGCCCATGATGCACCCCTCCAGGCACGTGGCGGATCGATCGAACGTGGCGGATTGGGGATCCCATGGACCCCCAAGGACGATCCCATGGACCCTGACCGCGAGTTGGTAGAGGATGATGTACTTGATTCTGTAGATGCCCCCAAATAGAGAAGGGCGACAAGCCAGCCTACCTTGCAAAGAGGCAGGTGACAAGGTGGCCCCGCAACAAACTGCACAAGCGAGTTGGTAGAGGAACGCCGTCCGACGACCAGGGTGAACCACCTGGGTCCATGTTTTTTTCTCTTCGGTCGTGTAACAGCATGGAGCTCAGCCAGGTGGCTGATGTGACTTTGAAGCTGGTGCCCTCCGAGGTGGGGCGAGCTCCGTGCCGAACGTCTGACGAGCGTTCTGGAGTCCTTGGAATTATAGAGACGGATAGAGACGGACTGACAGAAAGAAAGAGAGAGAGAGAGATTCACCTGGTTTCACACGACACAATTGATGAAGCTTGACAAATCCTTCTAGTGAATTGTCAAGCTTCATGTGTCTTGTGTCGTGTGTTACGCCTGAAAACAAGCGCTTTTCATCGGTGGGCGTTAAAGGTTTGTTGATCAGTTCGGGTTCGGTGCGCCTTCGGACCCCGGACGATGGCTGAGCCGCCTCATTGACTCAGCATCCAGGCGCCCGGGCGCCCGGGCGCCGGTTTGGAGATGCAATAATGTCAACCTCTGATTAATCACTGTACTAGGGGGCCGCCCCCCCCCCCCCCCTGAAAGACCTCAAATAGATAAAAAGACTGTTTTCAACTGTTTAGTATTGGTAGAGATTTTTCCTTTTGTATAAGAATCTATAAAGGAAAGGAATAGAAGAAAGGAATCCATAGGGATACCTAGGGCCAGGGGTGAAAACATTTAGCTTTATTTGGAGGTAATTTATAAATCTGTTCTGGGATTTGCTTAGCTTTATTCAAGGGATATTTATTAATCTGAATCTGAAGTGGACATTAGGTGGCCCCGAGCGCCCTAGCAGTCCAACCGACTGTAGTTGGCCGGTGCCGAAGTAAAGAATACTCCTTGGTGGGTCACCGCGAGAGATCCCTGAAATTCCATCAAGACCTCTTCAAAGACAGTCTTGAGTCTTGGATATAGTACGGTGCACTATTATAGAATAATATCAGACATGACCCCCAAAAATGAGGGTCTTCTGGAACATATCGTATTATTTTCTATATAATTGTGCACCGTACTAAGACATGAGATTTGTTTCTAGGAGTCCAGGCTGCACCTGATTCATCTTCACGGGCGGAGACGGGACTGCTCAACCCGACGGCAAGAACCCCTCCCATCCGCCCCCAAGGGGGACGCCGTGGACAGAGCTTCCCAGTCGGATGAGAGATATGAGAGCGCATCTCCGCTTAAGAAGAAGGCCGATTGGGATGCGGACATGTGTGTGTTTTTGTAATTCCGGTTTCAGCTGGCGGTCATTGGCCAAACCTCTTGAATGGGGGGCATGGAGGGTACGTACTCAGTACCAGTGGTGTCCTTTTGGGAAGAGTAGATGGGTCGGTTTGGTACCATTTACCTATTGGTTGTACACTTGAGGGTATCCTCTCTAGTAGTCCACTAATAGTAAAGGGCCATCTATGCTCAGTACTCCACTCAACAAGAACAGGTGGAAGAAAGGTTCAGTGCGGGGTGCCAGACCATATTTTGAGCCTAAGGCTCTGGAGGCATTTGCCCATTTGTTTTTGGATGGCCGGGATCAACGCATGACCACGTGGTCGTTCGACCCAAAGATGTGCTTGGCATAATTTGTTAATTAGTTTGTGCAGTGACCTTACCGTCGAACTGCAGGTTCGCGGTAAAACCACAACACGTGGTTGGATTGATAGAACAGGTGGAAGAAGGCGGACCTTTTTTCAGTCCAGAGAAGCCGTTCGTGGTCTTCCTTTCCCGAGACAGAGTCTGCCAACCTGGAGGGAAGGCTCATTCGCCAGAGCGAGAGGAAGCCTGGCTGGCTTCTGGCCATCATCGATCGGTTTGTTGGCCTTTGGACGAAGATGGCCCAGATGCCTGGAATCTTAAGGGTCTATATCTACTGCACTGCTTCAATGTTGAAACATACTGGAACATCATCTCGGCCCAAAATCTGGATGCGGCAGTCAGACAAAATTGTTCTCCAACTCCTGCCCGGTCCTACCCAGGAAAAGTGGATTGGCTTTAGATCGTTGAGCCATTTTGAGTTCTTGGGAGATTGGGTTCCCCACTCAAAACCATCTGGACGATTCGGTTCACCTGGTTTGTGACTGGTCGAAACGGCCACCAGGGAGTCAGAGTGGGTGAAGAACCACCAAGGTACCACCGCAGTCTGCGACTCTTGGCGGGCAGGCCACTCCTGGTGAACCAGCTGGCGCTTCTTTCTTGGCCCCTCCCGAGCCAGACTCCGATGTCAGCGGCTTGCCAAAAGCAAAGCGCGAGACGATGGGAATCGAAGACTTGTGGTTTGGAGGGTCGTTCTCGATGGACCTTCTGAGGATGTAGTTCCACATACACCTGGTCAGTTGAGCTCAGCTGCGGCTTTCTGCAACACTTACCAGTGATTCCGGTGGCCCATGTGCAAAGTCAGCTGAAATACATTTTACATTGTACGCGTATGTCAATTTACCTAGCATGGGGTGCCAGTGAAGGGGTGTGTTAAAGCCACTTTTGCATATACACAAATGCATTTACAACCCTGTGTGCCACCGGTTCTGATCAGATGTAGCACCAGTTATATACATGTACATGATATAGTTGTGTATAGATGTATGTTTCACTGCAGCCGTTTGGGATTTGTTTGTGTTCATTTGGATTTACTTGATCGCATTGAAGCGTGAGCTAAAATTCCACTAACCTTTGGGACTGTGACTTAGGGTCACTACGTTTGTGAGCTTAAATTCTCCGTGCAGGTTCGGAACTGAAAAGAACCTAACACATTGCTGTTTTTTTACCGACCGTGTATCCGGACCGTGAAGAGTATGACCTGCACTTGATGCATAATTCAATCTTGTGGATGTTTCAACCTTGTGGTTCCTTTCTCCACTTGACCTGTTTGCTGGAACGTTGGGACTTGTTGCCTGACCTGACCATATATATACTGTAACTATTTCTCAAAAGCCCAAACAACAAAACCAGTTGTGACGCCACAGTGGTGAATACCTTAGATCTTCTTCAGAAGATCTCAGGTGTTGTTTACATTTTAAAGGGTATTAAACGGTGTTTTGCTTCATCCTATTGCTGGGGCGCGTGGAATCCCCTTTGGACATTGTGAGGGGCAATACTGAAAAAAACAATACGACGGTTTGGGTCCAGCAGAGCGGATGTGAAGGCACCTAGAACCTGAGTGGGGCCAAAACCATGAACTTGTCCCATCAAAACAAAGGTCAAATGGGTTCGAGAAGAGAACACGAGGATGAAGCCGAAAGAGCGAGAGACATCCAGAGCATTGAGATGGCTCTAGAAAGCCTAATCCTAGAAGACGGAGAAGATGGCCACTGCCATGGAAGGCATGAACTTCCACCACCTGGAAGGTGAGCGCGCCGCTCCTTTGTTTTTTTTCGATCTCGGTCGCGCCCGACTTGTGATCGATTAGATCATGAATGTTGGGCTGTTGGCATTTGCATGTTTGCCCATACCAACCAACGACCTGACCATATATATATATA